ATTAACACTGCCACCCAGCTCAGCCCTTGGAAATAATCAGAATAATTTTACTGCAGCGCTGAGATTATTCTTCTGAAACTTCTGAATTTCTTTCACTTTATTTTATATAGCAAGTCTGACAAGGGGGTGGGTTTTAGCATGAATTAAAACACCGTAAAAGAAAATATCTTTCAGGCGCTCATCTTGGAGTCTTCGGGCTCCCTGCTACCTTACACGCCGAAAAAGGGGGAAAAAACTGCCCGTGCTGCAGCTTTCTCACCCATTCCCAGGTCCGTATTTGCCACGCTTAAATCACCGCACAGCGTTGTCTCCAGCTCAACCCGCAGCGGCTTCTGAGGGTGGTGTATCACAGGCCAGAGAAATAAATAGATTTTTAAAAATTAATACCAATGATGTAAGTACACCACACCGAGGAATTCTTAGCTAGATTTACAAAATGAATGACAATTCTGCCCCCAGTACATCACCCAGCAGCTATTGCTCTTTATTTTTTTAAAGCAGTACAATGACCTTCCACTAAGGACATGTCAGAATGTGCCTGAGAAACGCTGGGGCTTTTCAAAAATAAATAGATACAGTACAAAAGGGGACAGGACCAGAGCTCCGTGGAAGGCAGAGGCTGCGAACCCTGCCCGTGGCAGCCGTGTCCAACCACCCCGGCACCAGGTCACCTCCAGATGGGCTCAAATCCATTCTGCGATCAATGGCCACCTCGGGAGGGACCTGCCACCGACCTCATGTCCTGGGGACCACAGCTCTTGGGCAGGTCACCCTAAAACCCAGAGCACAAGCTCCATTCCTGCATCAGCGACGCTTTTGAGATGGGAAAGACCTGTCGCTCGACGCAGTTAACACCCAGATTGGAAAGATGTAGGACACCTGCCCCAGAGACCCGACCGCGGCTGAAAAAAAACAAGGCGATGGAGAAAAATTAACTAAAACGCTAACATCTTGCGCCGCACCTGAAAACGTTCAGCCGCGACCACGGGGACGGCTGACCCTTCCCCGCTCGCAGCCCTTCTTTATTAGCGAGGAAAAACCCGGAGCGCGCAAAGCCTGTCGGGCTGCTGGAATGATGCTGGGCTCGGTGGGATGCAGCACAGCTCTCATTTTTAATAAAACATCATTGTTGGGGAGGGAGTGATTTTTATAAGAGGGAGCGATAATTACACTGCAATTAACTGCGCTGCACCACCCCCAGGACTTGCCTGCCGAAAGCCGCCATCCAAAAACACCGGAGCAGACGGTCCCGCATCAATTCAACGGCACGACCGTATCTGGCGTTCCCGTTCTGTGCCACTGATCGACGTTCAATAGTTTTGATATCAAAATTAAGAGGTCTGATGCGGGAACGCCTTCGGTTTGAGAGGATTCTGCTATAACCCAAATCTCGCAGTTTCGCCCCCGTTTGGCGTTCCCGTTCTGTGCCACTTTCTCTGTCCCAGGGGAGGCAGCGCCAGCTTTGCCTTGGGTCTCTCACCGGCCGGGACACGGGGGGGGGGACATCAATCCATGCCGGAGCGCGGAGGCGCCACTGGCCCGGCGTGAGGTCAGAGGGGACGAAGTGACATCACAGCTTCCCTGGAGGTGACATCACAGCCTCCCTGGCGAAGGCAGCGCCCGCCAAAGAGCCCTGGTGGGGCCGGGGGGGCACGGCCACAGCGGGGAGGGGGCACCCGGGCTTGGGGAAGGAGCAAATTTCCTCGGGCTCAGAGGGGGGGGCTCTGGATCCAACCTCCCCCCCCAGCTCCCAGAAAACATCGCTAAAATAGAACTGATTTCAGCATGACAGAGCTGCCGCGCATCAGTGCCGTGTTTGCGAGGTTTGGGAGAAAAACCTCCCAAAAGACCCTGTTCCCTCCACCACTGAAACTGCCGTCTCCTTCCCGCTCTGCGCAGAGCCTTGGAAAGCTCGTTTCCTAAAAAACGGTGATTTGATTTAGCACACGGCAGAAAAAAAAAAGAAAAAAAAAAACATCCAAGGAGGGCCACAATCCACGCGCTTCTTGCTAAAAAAAAAAAACCTGTCCCGATACGTGAGCTTGCCATTTACGCTAAAACAATGTTAATTCTTTAAAAAGAAAAGAAAACTTCCAACCTGACGTAAAAGCAGCAACAGCTTGTCACTTTAAAGGAAACTTCTACCCTTGCAAAACGACTGTGATTAATCAACTTGTCCATATTGTCTAAATAGTCCACAGAACAGGAATTAAAAATAATATTTCAGAAATTATAAAATTACACGCGGTAACAGAACTGGAGAGCGCTTTTCCATTTCTCTTTTGTTTATTGTTCAAACTTGTCAAACCACTTTCTTTTGTTAAAACAGGTTCTTTTGTAATGAAAAGGCAGAGTCCCTTTCAGCAGATGGACTTTCAGAATGAAAAATGTTCTAATTATTACACTTTTCATTAAATCAATTATCCTCCCAAATTGTTTTGGTGTTTATCTCTGCCAATCAGCAGCAAAGCCATGGAACGATCTGTTGTCACCATATTTTTTCTCCTCCAGGTACATTTGTTCAGATTTTTGCTACAGCAGCTCCAGCTGAGATAAGAACAATCTACTGCCTGAGTTTTCTTTGATGTTCCTGTAACAAATACATATATTAGAAGAGATTTGTTGAGCTGAATTCCACTCCTGCACTAGCCTAGAGCTGAAACTGCCAAGGGAAAATATTTCAAAATTATCTCCTTTAACATTTACTGCAAGTTTACCTTTTCCACTGCACATAACAATACAAAATTCAGCATTATCTCCCCTCGGACTACTGCGTATTTAGCAAAGTAAAGATACACAGCGCAGTGAAAACCCTCTGCGGCGTCGCAGCCATAAGAAACCCCAAATGCTCAAGAAGAAAAATCACCCTCTGCTCTCGGTCCCCCTGTTCTTTCAGACAAAGGCTCTGGAAATAGGACAGACACTTACCTTTAAAGTCACCCAAAGAAAACTACTTTCCAAAAGTTTGCAAGCAAAAAAAATAATAATAATAATGAAATCTCAGGGAAAGATAGGAAAAGACAGGCAGGGTCTACCGGGGAGAGTGCTTTCAAACGCATTTATTCAGAGCTCCTTCCCCCGCTGCTTTTTTCTTTCTCTCTTTTTTTTTTTTTTTTAAACTTTTTTTCATGTGCCATTTCCAATACCTTTAAAACGCACTTATTAACGTAACGGTGACAATCGTGATAAGGGAATCCGCACCAGCGCCCGGCCACCGAGCCGGCCGCTGCCCCCCGCACTCTCCAACGGGACAAAAGCTGCAAATCGAAGCGGCTTCGATAAAGCGCCAACCTGAACGCTCCGGTTGGAAAAATTATGTAGCGCGTATTTTGTAAAGGGAGAACTGGTCGAAGGTCTCTGCCCCCCCCCCCGAAACAGGCTGGCGGAGCGGAGCGTGGCGGGGAGGGCCGCGGGGAAGGGGGGCGGCGTGTCGCACACCCCGCGGCCCCCAAAACCCCCTTCTCACCCAACACCCCCTCTCCTTCAAACCTCGCCAGAGGAGATGTGCCTTATTCTCTATCGAGATAACGACTTCTCCCTCCCGCGGCATCCCCGATCCTGAATTCCCACGGGCAGGAAAAAAGCAGTTTGCTAATAAAAACGCAGATTCTGTATGATTCCCTATAAAAGGAGAGAGTTGCCTTTATCTAGCGATAAGCTCCCGGGGCGTATTTCCTTGGTTTTTTGCTGTTTTTGTTTTGATGCTAAGAGTTGATCAACTCGGAAAAACTTT